TTTCTCATTTTCTCATTTTCTCATTTTCTCATTTTCTCATTTTCTCATTTTCTCATTTTCTCATTTTCTCATTTTCTCATTTTCTCATTTTCTCATTTTCTCATTTTCTCATTTTCTCATTTTCTCATTTTCTCATTTTCTCATTTTCTCATTTTCTCATTTTCTCATTTTCTCATTTTCTCATTTTCTCATTTTCTCATTTTCTCATTCATCAGGCAACAGGGCACAGCTTGTCAGGCACCAATCTCCCCATCCCTTTGTGTCGCCACGGAATACACTTGCTTTGGGGGAACTCCCTTCCTACTCGTTTTTCTCTTCCACTTTGGCGATACTTTTCAGAATTTTCATGTCCAACCTCCACCAAGAAACAATCACGACGGTCGCATTCTAGTCAGCAACTCTCCATGGAACAATCGCAATTAGGCAGAGTTATAGACATCGGCAAAGCTGTTTCTGAAAAAGTAGGACAAACGTTTATCCTGATGTTCTAAAAACCAGAAGAGCGGTGCTAAATTTCAGACAGCTGAAGGTGAATGAAGTCGAATCAGAGCAGCATACGGTCCGGGATCTTGGCAGGACAGTCCCCGCACAGGGGTCTCGGGCACCTATTGCGATCGTTGTTGACATGACGGATCCAAAAGGACATATACGTGTTCTCGACAGTGCATTGGACCAAGTTGGTGTGGTTCAGGGCGGGGAGAACAGGGGTCAAATGGTGATGGTGACTTGGAGAGAAGGATGGGAGTACATGTTCTTTGGTGAGGGAAGCTGCAAAATCTACCATATCTATGCTAAGGACATGACCTGATCCGATTCCGTCAAGTACTTGATCACTTCTCTCGGACTGCATCTGAATGTGATGAACGGCCACTGTTCACTGTCAGGGACCGTAAGTGACTGTTGCAGGTCCGATTGCTTGGTTAGTGCTAGGAGTCGGAAAGTAGTTTCCACCGATATGTTGTAGACCTTCCCTTTCAGTGGCGCTATCCAATATCAGCAGGTGTACCAGCCGGCCGGAAAGTGGGGTTCAACAAACCGTTGCTTACTGGCGGACCGGTGCTGGGCTCAGTGGTACCGGTCTCACTCGACACTTCTTCTCTCGGTGATGTTACGCGCCTGATCTTCTGCGCGGCTCCCTGGCTATGCACAGCCGTGTCGCTCATCCTGCGCTTAGTTCGGCCCTGCACTTGGCCGGAGATGGCTATCGTGACATTAGAACTGATCCGGCCACCTGAGAGTTTACCTACCATTCGTCCCAATTTTTGCCTCGAGTTCAGTCTTGTAGCTTTTGATATCAACCTCGAAATTGAGGGCAACAGCCTGCAATGGCCCCGTGATTTTGTCCTTCATCTCGTCGATGAAAGAGCTGAGTTGCCCGATTTCGTATAGAGTGGTCGGTGCGAATGTAAAAGCACATAGCAAAGACATACGGAATCCCAGGTCCTCATGAACCTTGGTCAGGAACACGCATGCGCCCTTACGCTTTGACCGTGTCGATGATGTGTCGTCGGACTCGCGACCGTCCTTAGGAAACAGTCCAATCGAGGAGCGAAATTTCCCGACGTGCTTGGGGCTAGGCGAATTGTGGGTGCGAAAGTGGTTGATGACTTTTCGCAAGGATTCGATATATTTTTCCATGTCTGCTTGTACCACAAACGCCGGAGACGGGCGGGGAGGAAAAGCATACAAAAAGAGCTGGAAAGTAGGAAAACAGGAAGGCAGGAAAACAGGAAAACGGGAAAGCAGGAAAATGGGAAACTGGGAAAATGGGAAAGGAGGCGAGGAGAAAGTAGGTAACTGGAAGAGCATATGAAAAGTGGTTATCGGCTATCCTCGGTTATTCTAGGCGCTGTTCTGGGAACACCCGTCGGCCTACGATGGGATGACTCATCATAGTTCCAGCTGCAGCGCTTTCAGATGAGTTTGATTGGTCTCAGGCTCTCACGTTCGCATATCGATAGAACCGACATGGCGAAACGTAGATCCAAGACACTTGTAGTCAAATCACCGGCTGGCTCCGTAATGAATTAAGATTTCCCTAAAAAAACCAATAATAGCGAGAACGAAATTTTTAAAATCGGAGTAAAAATAGTACTATAATACACTCTAAAAGGTTAATTAGATAGCCGTGTGCTCGTTATAAAGCCCATTATAACGTAAGTACTATAATAACCCTATAGCCCTAGGAGTAAATATAGTTAACGTACTATTAAGAGTACGCTACTTAACTTAATAAATACTTTTAAATAGTACTTAAATTAATTAATATTGTAAACGAATACCCCCTTAACCCGAAAGCCGTAAAAGCTATTTTTATTATTATTATCTCTTTATTAACTAAAATATAAAAATTACCCGAGCTCGGATACCTTTACTAAGTTATTAAGAGTTTACGTATAGAAAATAAGACGATTAACGAGAGTAATATTTATAAATCGAGAACTATTAGGATTATTATATAATAAAATACGGCCGAACTAAAGGAAAATATTAATATAACGCGCGTAGCTAGCGTAGCTACTAAGGAAGTTTAAAAAGCTAGTAAGTTAGTAGTTAAAGTTATAAAGGATATTAAAGTACTAGAGCTAATAAATTAGGGGAATACTATATAATTATATATTAGCGTAGCTGCCCGAGGAGGACTTATAGGGAGTATATATAACCCCTATAACTAGAGAGCGTCCTAGACCTAGATTCTATATAAAATTATTATAAATATTAGAGACCCTATTACTATTATTAGTATAAGAGCTATAAACCCCCGTAGCCTTAAAGCGTATATAAACCGCGCAATTAAATAAAGTAGTAACGAATATATCTATAAGCTTAAAACCGTATTTACTAATTAACTTAAGAGCGGTAACTTAAGTATTAAAATAGTAACGACGAAAGATATAGAGGCCCTCTAGTAGTTTACTAAGGATTAGGAAAACTATATTAGTAACGGAGCTGCTATAAGGATCCTAATTTACGGAGTACTAGCGCACGGTATTAGAACTAGCTTTATAAATATAGACCGCTTTATAAAAATTAGAGACGACCTATTATAAGATAACAAAGTATTTATCCTTAGAGTAGATATTAAGTACGTAGGCTAGCTAACTTAATTAGCTAGTAAAAAAACGGTATTATTAGTAGTCGTAAAGCTCTTAAGGGTAAAAAACGCTAATAAACTTATTAACGAGGGACTTATTTAGTAAGGCTAGGTGTTTTAATACGAATAATATAATAGCTAGTGCTATTTAAAATAGTAGTTTAAGTACTACGCATACGGTTATATAAAAACCTAATATAAAATAATAATAATATACGGTTACTATGTATAAAAATACGTAACCCGAGATTACCCTTCGAAAAGCGATATAATAACCCTAAGGAAATATACCGCATACTATAGCAAATACGAAGCATAGTACGGCGGATACTATACTAGGATATATAAGAAAGCTAAGATTAAGGCTACTTATAGCCTACGGTTGAGGTACTATTTAGAATAGACGGCCCTACCGCCGGCCCTAGGATCGGAAACTCGGACTAGGCCGAACTTAAAAATCGCACGGCTACTACTAAAACTAGGATAATCTTAGGAAAATCGCTCGAGCCGGAGCTAGTTCCTAACGAAAAAGATTTAAAAGAGGCCTAACTTAATAATAACTTAAAAATCGGAGGAGACGATTACCGTAGCTATAAAGAATACGTATCCGAAACGCATAATTATTTAATCGTAAAAAGCGCTCGAGGCGCTCGACCCTAATACGTAAATAACAGATACGCAAACGATAAGTAATAGTATAGTAATAGAGATCGTTATTAATAATAGTAAATAAACGCATAATATATACTCATAATACTACAGTATAACGTAAGAAAATCGAAGGATACCGTTATAGTAACACTTCTCCGTGACCCGAATATTGATAATTACGATATTATTATTATTTAGGAACTATAGAGGAAACCCTATAGCGTAACGACGTACTATTTAGCTAAGGATCGGTTCTATTTATACTACCCCTTGAGTGAGGAAAATAGCCCGGCTAGGGTCTACTTCTTTATTAATAAGAAGCTTGACTACTCTCGTTAGTAATTTAGGGAGGTTAGTAAAGACCTCTATACTCTAGTTATTATAATAGATAATAATGCCGGAATAAGCTTAGTGCTATATAATATATATAACTTGTTACCGTAGGAAGAAGATCGGTAGCCGGTTTTATAATAGTTACGAATAATATTAGAAATATATTAGTATGTTGAGTAAATTGTTATTAGCGACTTTAACTTATATTATAAGCTATAAGGAGGTAGCGATATCCGAGTACTAAATTATAAAGTAACCGAGCTCTTAGATTTAATAAATAATATAAACTTTATAAGTTAATTAAGAGCGGGAACTATTATATACGAAAAAGGAGATTGTTAAATAATTATTAACCTCTATTTTATTACCGTAAGTCTTATTAACTAAATAATTAGATACGAAGTAGATTATAATATTAATTATAACTCTAACTATTTATTTATAGTAACGTTACTATACTTAGTAGTAACCGAGCTATAGCAAGAGGAGAAACGAAAGTAAAAAGTTATTAATAAGGAAATATTTATTAAGACTTTTTATAAATTATTATTAGAAATATAAAAGCTAAGAACGAAGATAGCGCTTAATAAATATATAAAAATAATTATAAATACCCTCTTAGTTATTATTAAAACCGCGGTCCTAATTAGTACTTTTTTATTAAAGTTTAAAAGAGGCTAGGACGAGTAATATATAGCTATCTTAGCTAAGACGAAGCAACTCTACTATAACTATAGCGAGCGATAAATAGAGGAGAGCTAGGAAGTATATAAAATAGTACGTAATAAAAAAGGCTATATTATAAAAAAAGCTTTTTAATAAGTAGATTGCGAAGTAGTTAAAATAGTAGCTAAGTTATTTAGATTATTATAGAAGATTACTAAATAGGCCCGGAATAAATAGAGCTAGCTACCGACTATTATACTAAAATTAAAAAACTTAATAAGTCTTAGGTTACTATAACGCTTAAAAAGAAAGTAGCGCTTTTTAAAAAGACCTTCTTTTCTCTACTACTAGAAGTAAATTTCGAAGATATTAATAACGTATTATATAATAATTAGATCGGCTTACTACTAGTATTAAAAAGCGAAGTAAAAGACGCTATTTAAGAAGTAGTATTACTAAAGGCCCCGGGCCCCGATAGCGTTACGAACTTAGTATTTTAAATAGTAAGATTTTAAATTACGCTATATCTCGTTTATATACTTAACTAGAGCCTCTAATTAGAATATTATTTATAATACTTTAAAAAGTTTATTACGGTAGTACTTAAGAAGCTAGGTAAAGATAACTATATAGTGCCTAAAGTATATAGGCTAATAGCCCTCTTTAATATAGTAAATAAGATTATAGATACTATTATAGCGAGGAGATTAAGCTACTTTACCGAAATATATAAGCTATTATTAGAAAGCTATATAGGTAGAAGAAGATGTTAGTTAACGGAATACGTATTATACTAAATCGTAGATAGGATATACGAAGCTTAGGGTTTAGGATAGGGAATAGTAGCGAGCTTATTTTTTTTAGATATATTAGGCGCTTTTAATAACGTTTCGTACTACTAATTCTTATATAACTTATAAAAAAAGCGGATTAATAAAGTAATAGTACGTTAAGTTATTAGTTTTTTTAAATACTAAGAGACGGATATTTACGTAAATAGATTCCGATCCGAGACTTATAAACTCGATATTAGTATCTTATAAGGGTCGCCCCTTTTATTAATACTCTACCTTTTTTATAATACGGATCTTTTAAATAGCTATAATAAGACCGGAGATACGATTATTACCGGCTTTATTAATAACGTAGCGATCCTTACTATAAGAAATAGTATAGAGGAAACTTATTAAAAGCTCTAAGAAGCGCTTTAAAAAGCCGAGACGTAGGCTCTTATTTATATATCCGTTTTCGTACCTAAAAAGTTCTAGCTTACTTACTTTATATAAGCAAAAACTAGAATTAATATAAATAAAATACTCTATAGTTAGTAAGGAGAAATTAAACCTAAAACGACTTATAAATACCTCGGTCTTATTATAAACTTAGCCCTTAAGTAGAAATAATATATCGACGATATAGAATATAAAGTTATGAATACTATTATAGTACTTAGTAGTCTAAGTAGCTTTACGTAGGGCGTAATAATAAGAGAAATAAGGACGATTTATAAGGGAGTAGTAATACTATAAATAATATACGCATACTCGCTATAGTCTAATAGCGGTTAGGGATAGATAGGCTATATAAAAAGAATATTAAATAGACTATAGAGGCTCTAAGCTAGAGTAGCTAGGATAATATATAGAGCAAATAGAGTAACCTTGTTCTTAGTATTAAATATAGAAATATACCTCTTATTAGTTAAATAATAGATATAGAAATATAATATTAATACTATTAGTAGGGTAAGTATAGCCGAAGCTACTGCGCATAGAGGGAAGAAAATTAGCTTAAAATAAATAATAATAAACCGAATACGTAATAAATAAGATATAACTAGCGAATAATACGAATACGAGTATATACTACCCTTTATTACCCCCCTATAGTAATAGGGACTATGTATTTATATTACTAGAGGTATAGAGAAGGCTAAGAAAAAACACGACTGCTATTTAGAAAATAATACTGACGTAACTTATATTTATATAAACGGTAGCGGTATTAATAGTTAAATTAGAGTAGTAGTAGTTTATATAATTATATAGTAAACTAAGAAATTTTATATAGGGAACGATACGATATTTATTATTTATGCGAGAGAGCTATAAGATATTATCCTAGCCCTCGAGATAGTATAAGTAAATAAGGAAAATAGAAACTACTAAAGTAAAGTTTTTATATATACTAATAACTAGGCTACTATCGGATCGTTAACTAACTTAAAAGGGAAGTCCGGTACGTACTTTTTTAAAATTATTATAAAAAAGATATAAGCCTTTTGAGAATAGGGACTTAAAGTCGAGCTTTAGTAAGTACTAGCTTATATCGGTATTTAGGGTAATAAAGTAGTAGATATCGCTACTAAGGAGGTAACGGGATAGAGGTTAAATAGATAGATAGGTCCTAAGGTAAATAAGCTAAGAGCTTTGTTTAAACTTAGGTCGATAGTTAAAATATAGTTATATAAATAAACTTATTACGTATAGTAAACTAAGTAAGAAATTAAAACGTGAGAGAGGATATTGTTCTATTTTATACCGAAGTTAATAAAAAAGGTCCTTGAACTTTACGAAGGCCTTAATAAATATTAAAGTGTATTTTTAGTCTAGATACGTATAGAAAAAATTGGGCTCTAGGACTTCCTTTTTAACTAAAGAGTACTGGGTATTATTAATACTAATTACCCCTATTAGAAAGAACGGTAAACGGTATTATATATTTTATTATGATACTATAGGTTTTAATAACTCTAACGCTAAGAATTTAGAACCCTCTTAAGATAATATAATCTCCGGGTTATATTAAATAAGCGTAAAGTAGTTACTAAGGTAATCCGATTTATAAAATAGACCGAGATCCTTAGGTAATATAGGATCGAGTCGTATATTAGAGTAAGCTAAATATTAGGAAGAGATTATAAGTACGTTAAATTATTATATAAGGAGAAAGAGCTTAATAGAGCTTAGATATATATATATATTAGTAGAGAATTGTAAACTATACTTAGTAGCTGCTAGGGGTAGCTAAGGTTAGAGAGTAAAGTAGGAGATTTAGAGATAGCTAGTTAGTATTTTATATTAGCGAAGTAGGGCGCTACGGATTAACGTCCGGAGCGCGTCGGTTATTAGCTAAACCTTACTATCTAGGTATAGTTATTAATTAAAGCGGCTAAAACTAAGTAAGAATTAATTAAATTAAATCAAATTAAATTAAATTATTCTACTAGATCCCTGTTCTTAAGTCACGCCTCAAGATCCTAATGAAGTCTGTCTGCGTTCCGCAGTCTTGTGGCCTTTGCCGATACCAGATCGTCCTAGACGAGACAATCGTCACCGGTAAAGTAGCTCTTTTCTCTTCTATATCAGAGTTCTGATGGATCTAGTGTGGAGAGACGGCGCTGAGCGATCTCAACCGTTCTCATACAGTGTAGTAGGCTTTCCCGACAGCTCTCGAGGAATTGAGTATGTTCAGTGTCGCGGGAAATGCCATCACGACGAGAAGAGGATTGGCTGTCACCTTGACTGCTACAGTTCAATATCCATTGAGACCTTTTCGCAGATCTACGAAGTGACAGCACCCGACTTTGAATCATCACATACAGCGAACTGCCAGCGTTCCCGCTGGTTACTGTCCTGGCTCGCCTCGATAATCAGAAGGCCGACGCACTCCCGCTTTCCTCCGGAAGTCTGCAGCGACATCGCAGTTCGGGCTCTTGATCAAGAGACCAGCCGTCGAATGGCCGTTTGGTATGCCGAGAGAAAGTGCGGTGAGTTCGCGAGAAACGTATCGCAAGTCACACTTTCGAAGAAAATATATGTTCGATACGCATACTTCGAGGGCACCCGATACATTGCGCGATTGACAAATGCAGCCACCAACAATAGAGATATACTGGTGTTTGACCCACTGTCGCAGACACCAGCTGTAAGGTTGTACGTTTCTAGTGATCACCTTGGCATTCGACAGTTGTTATTTGTCAATTCGTCAAGCAAACCTGCGATCATCCAAGAGCCGGATGTCTGGTGGAAAACAATATGCCTTGGTAGTCTGGGCAGGTTCATTCGAACCCGAGGTGATGTGCGCAAAGCAAGCATTCGGGATAAGGAGATTCTTGACAGTATCTAACTTGGGTGGCTAGGGCTCGAAAATGCGCGTAATTGCAGGCGAGAGCTTGCAATTACCACAAGTTGCCTGGGGCTTACCTCAAGCAGTGTATAAACACCTTCGCCTAGAACCCCTTTGCAACGCCGAATTAACCTATCGCATGTCGGTAGTGCCATGCAA